GACCTAGCAGCAAAAAATATTTCTTCGGAAAAGCAGCACAGTGAGAGAGCAGACATTCCTGCCCATAACGGCCATGAACGCTTCAGATTCCCGTCAAATATACGGAAAAAAAAAAAAAAAACAGCGGTGCACCCTTGGGTGACTGGTGCGATCATGTGTTTTTTGCAGCTCTGTGCAGCGACCGCTTATGAAACCCTTCCTCTAAAACGCGCAAACAGGGAACATTCCTCTAAAACTTCAGATTCCTAGTTCTCATAGTCCCCTAGTCAACAGTTTTCGCGCCAAAACTTTCAATTACCCGCACGCGAGGTCAGGCTTTCGTCAAGGCTGAGTCTGACTTCATGGGGTCACATACGGGTGAGGATAATGCAGAGGTCTGTAACATAATGCAAGAGGCAATGAGAAAAAATTACTTACATGGTTGTCCGGAAAATCGAGGATACCAATGCTGATTGCTTGCATATGCCTTGAGACACTTGAGATAATCGTTGCGGAACTGGCGCGAAACTGCTGGTGCAGCAAGGTGAGGATGTTTGACACACAGTACCGGGAATGGAGCACTGGGCAGGCTACCAGATGACGATATATCACACTCCTCAACGATCACCCCATCAGCAGCTAGACGCTCCGCCAGTTCACTCATCGAATCGGACAGGCTCCAGTTCCTGAACAGGCTGCATTCCTTTCATTTAACAACGATGAGGATCGGAAGGCCGACCGAGAAATGAGCGCCCAACAAAACGCAGATGCACTAGCATCAGCAACAGCACGTCGCTGATGGCTGGTCGGCACTTACCGTCTCTGGCGATAACTGCGTAAAATTTTGGCCCGCCAACTCGGCTGGGCTCCGTCCTGACTTTCTGCAGAATCACCGGAACAGTTCGCTGCGAAAAAAAACAAGAAATCTCAATTTGTGACTGACAGAGCAGCCAAATTCGGCTCTCTCCTTTTTTGGTATCGCGAATCTGTGATTTCGCCCCCTCCCCCCTCTCCGCGTCCCATACAGAGTGCATGTCTTCTGCATACCCGCTGCTTGCTCCCGTAACTGTCAAAGCGCCAGTGCCAAGAGTTCGCTAGAGCCGGCGAAGAACGCATCTCCAGGACGACCAGGGACTGCTGCGAAACGAAATGACACCAACCTGACGGGAGATCGCGAGGGAGCGTCACCTCCACGAAATACAGCATTGATACGCCTCTTCAGCTTCTTCATCTGCGTACGAGCAACCAATCCCGACAAGCACCACCGCCGCCTACAAAGACAAGCTAGCACCAATCGGAAGTGTCGTCGAGATTTCACGCGGTCACGGCGAGCACGGAACCGGATCCGATGCAACTGTATCCTGCACTGAAGCGAGCAAGAGCGGGCATTTCTGCCGGTAATTGGGCGGAGAGGGTGTGCTCGGCACTCACTTTCGCTAGCCAAATGCAACAGTAGCAGCGGTTAACAGGAGGTGCCGATGCTTGGCACGCCAAGAACGCCTGGGTAGGGCTAATGCTTTTTCAGCTGCTTCCGTTGGTGGGGGGGAGGGGGAACTACAGAGTTGAAAAGTTCTTTGGAACAGAAAAGAAACGAGCTTGAGGATCAGCACCGTCAGGCGATGCAGTACTGGTCAACCGGCGATGCCCTGTCCAAGTACAACGTAAAGATTTCAAATCCAGCCCTCGGATGTGCCTGGCTCTTGCGTAAAGACGGTTAAAAATTTTGGCGGGAAAATTGCTCACTGAATAGCTAGGTCGTTTTAATAGAACGACCGTTCGACGGAGATCGTTCATTTTTATGCGTTTTTGCCTATATGCAAATTGCAAAAACGCATATTGGGACGATCCTGTCTGTGCGTGTGTGTGTGCGTATGTATGTGTGTGTGTGTGTGTGTACGTTTGTGTATGTGTTCGTCTGTCCGGGTATTTCAACTCGGCAACCAAGCAAGTTTCAGCGCCGAGATTT